GGAAAACGTAGATTTTTTTTTTTTTTTTTTTTGAGACTGGAAAAATAGAGTTTGCTTTGCCTTTGTCAAGAAAAGGTGGAAAAGTGGCATGACTTCTAGGTGGCATATACTTTTAAGTTTATTATCATTTGCACACCAGCAGCTATTAACTGATAAGACTGCACAATTAAAAGGATGTTGATATATTTTTGTATCAGATATTACTGCTCTAATTTATCAATCAGTGTCCCATAGGTGCTCTAATTGTTTCCTTAGAGTAACTAATAATAGAGAGAGAGAGAAAAAATGCATACAGCATCATAACCTGTGGTTCGGTATATTATCCATGAGAATAATTAGAAATTCTTAGTAGTAGTTTGTACAAGAGGTTTCGTAACTATATACATATATAAGTTAGCACCCATTTACTACATAGCTTCATTACCTTCTTGCTGGCACTATGCAGTCTTTCTTGCTAATGATCAGTTTAACGTTCCACAGGGTAACCTGAATCATTATTGGTCCATGCGTCCTGACCAATCACCATAGGCAAGGGTTGGAATTTTCGATAGAGTAGGGATTAGTGAAATGCTAATATAGCCATACTGTGCCACTGAGACATGTTGGATGTTGAATTTGTTCAAACTGATATTGTGTTCAACATGTTCTTGTAGCACCAGCACTCTGTTTATTCACAGTGAGCTTACACCTAGAACAGATTTTTGGTAAGATTCTGGTTTGTGGGCATTTGTCCCTGCAAGATTTGCCTTAACGAGATCACTAAGCATTTTTTCATTAAATATTTCTGAGCAATACAATGCAACAACGTTCATGGGAGAGTGATTCTCTTTCAACTCAATTCAAGCCTTAAACATGGTTATAGAGCATTATAATTTGATCATTGGACATTTGGGGTACAATTAAGTTAGCCGTTATAGAACCTAGAAAATACAGTGACAAATTAGTTCCCTCAAATGTCTCATCCAGGTACTCTGGCTATGTTTCCACTGCTTAATCTCAGAACCTCAAAATGTAGAACTAAATATGTACAGGTTCAGGATTCTGATAATTAATTAATTGCACCTTTATATTTCACATTATTCACAATTTTTTTATCTCACTTTTATCTCACAATTTCTATAACTGTGTCTTCTTTTGACCTATATCTCAAAATTATTATATTATTTCTTGTAACTGGGAAATCTTCTAATTGCGACTTTTTTCCTTGTAATTGCATCTTTATATCACACCAAAAAAAAGTTATTTCAGCGTTTTATCCCGGTTATTTGGTTCTGAGTTTTGTGAGTGGAAACATAGATATTGTAGAGTAATTCACAACAGAAATGATGGTATGAATAACCTATCAGAAAAAAATATATATTATATATAATAATATATATAATATTGTGACCATGGACCACAAAACAGTCATGAGGGTCAATTTTTCGAAATTGAGATTTATACATTATCTGACAGCTGAATAAACAAGCTTTCCATTGAAGTATGGTTTGTTAGGATAGGGCAATATTTGGCCGAGAAACAACTATTTGAAAATCTGGAATCTGAGGGTGCAAAAAAATCTAAATATTGAGAAAATCGCCTTTAAAGTTGTCCAAATTAAGTTTTTAGCAATGCATATCACTAATCAAAAATTAAGTTTTTATATATTTACAGTAGGGAATTTGCAAAATATCTTCATGGATATGATCTTTACTTAATATCCTAATGATTTTTGGCATAAAAGAAAAATATATAATTTTGACCCATACAATGTATTTTTGGCTATTGCTACAAATATACCCCAGCGACTTAAGACTGGTTTTGTGGTCCGGGGTCACATATATATATATATATATATATATATTATTTGGATTACAGATTACATGGCAAGTAGTAGTACAAAATTATTCCCAGAACATGGAAGGTTTACATGTAGCCCAAATGCTAATTTCTTTATAGTCGGTCTGCTTGACCTGTTTGCCAAGTCTACAACCTACTGCAGTACAAATACATTGATACATAGCTCTATCAAATATCTTATATCTACAATGGCACAAGTTGCTGTTTTAGAAATAGCTATCAGGTTAATCACACAATATATGTTTCACTATCTAAGGGAGTTGGTGCATGCAACAAACCATAC